ATCTGCAGAAAACGAAAGTAATGTACAACAACCTCGGCAAGGAGCAGCGCTTCGAGATAGGTAATAGTGCACTTGAAGTTGTAAAAGACTATGTCTACTTAGGGCAGGTAATAACCGCAGAGCCGAACCACGAGATTGAAGTAACTAGAAGAATAAGAATGGGGTGGAGCACATTCGGAAAGCACTCTCAAATTATGACAGGTAGATTGCCACTATCCCTCAAGAGGAAGGTATATAACAGCTGTATCTTGCCGATACTTCGCTACGGAGCAGAAACCTGGAGACTTACAAAGAGGGTTCAGCTTAAATTGAGGACGACGCAGCGAGCAATGGAAAGAAAAATGGTAGGTGTAACCTTAAGAGACAAGAAGAGAGCAGAGTGGATTAGGGAACAAACGGGGGTTAAGGATATCATAGCTGAAATCAAGAAGAAGAAATGGACATGGGCAGGGCATGTAGCGCGTAGACAGGATAACCGCTGGTCATTAAGGGTAACTGACTGGATTCCCAGAGAAGGGAAGCGGGTTAGGGGGAGACAGAAGATTAGACGGGGAGATGAGATTAAGAAGTTTGCGGGTATAAATTGGCAGCAGCAAGCACAGGACCGGGTTAACTGGCGGAACATGGGAGAGGCCTTTGTCCTGCAGTGGACGTAGTCAGGCTGATGATGATGATGATGACACGAGTACGCCGCTTTAGTACAGAGATGCTAAAACAGCACGAACGTCCAGCACGGGACGAGGAAGGAACGATGACACGAGTGCTGCAGCTGTAAATTCTTTTCGAGTTTGGCACGTATATGTAAACAGGAACCATCAGCAAGAAACAGAAAAGAAAAGAGATTAGGTGATATCTATTGAGCGAATCAGCCTCCTACTGATTACCAGCGGTGTAAAAACACAAGCTTTTCTCAAGATAGTGCCAGGGATTTCAGGCTCAGTTGGCGGTCAGGTTGGGTGCTCCCCCCTCCCCCAGTAACCCTACAGAAAAGGGGACGATGTCTGCTCCATACATTGGCATAAGGGGGGGGGGGGGGTAATCCTGTGCATTGTTATGCTCACACACCTGTTTTCTGCACGTGCAATGTCTAAATCCTCTATATAATCTCCCTATCGTGTTTGTCTTTGTGATAGGGATAAGTTCACTCCGTTCAAACAATTCAACTTCATTCAAACACTGCGCCTGACAAACGTATATTCCTACAACACGGTCTTCAAGGCTGATTCTTCTTAAGTTAATGTCATCGTCACCTCATACAAAAACATATAGTATAATCTTAATTGTAGATGCCTTTTCGAGATAAAAGCATCTTTTATTTAATATTTGGGGTTTAACGTCCCAATATCATCATATTCTGAGAGACGCCACAGTAGAGGGCTCCGGAAATTTCTACCACCTGGCGTTCTTTACCGTGCACCCAAATCTGAGAACAAAGGCCTACGGCATTTTCTCCTCCACCGAAATGCAGCCACAGCAGCCGGGATTCAACCCGTGACCTGCGGGTCAGCAGTCGAGTACCTTAGCCACTGGACCACAGCGGCAGGGCTTCCAGATAAAAGGACTGTACGAAGAGGTAATGGTGTTACTAGGCATTGATAAGATGAAAAAATATTTTGTGTTAGCTGATTCTGGTTTTAGGAAAAACCAATGCAGCTTAGGACTGGCTGTTTTTTACGTCTGGGTTGACTTACGATTCTTGCCGAAATTGTATGAACGGATAGGATAACAATCGTTGCAGAAATTGCCCAATTAGGTTACAGTAAAACATTTGTTTTCACGCATCCATGCACACAAGTACGTAAATATAAAGAAAAAAAAGACCTGCAGACTCCTATTTTGTGCGAAAATTTCACATGGGAAGTCAGTGGTCCCTTCTCACGGGCGACATGGAATGAAATGTCCATTAAGATGCGCGTTAAATAATGGTCAAAATTTATATAGGGCGAGGACTGCCTGTGTAGAGTATCGGCTCACAGCATGAATGTCAACATCTCTCGCCCCTCTTGAGGCGCCGCACCTAACGTTTGGTTGCGTCATAGCGGGTGGAGGGTTAACACACAGCAGCCCGCATGCGATAGGAGAGGCGAGACATAAGCTATCATGGTCAACCGCTCCATCTGATCTGCTATAGGCTGTAGCCCACATCAAAAATGAGTGGCCCCTGTAAACCATAAAAATCCTGGTCCTAGAGCAAATAGTTATGAAGTTTTGCAATGCGTTACAGACATGGAACCCGCATTATTACACAGAACTCAAAGTAGATGATCATCACGCTTCTACCACAACATTCGCAGGCGTTTTATAGTATTGATTTTACGGAACACATGATTTCTGAACGTATCTATCTATCTATCTATCTATCTATCTATCTATCTATCTATCTATCTATCTATCTATCTATCTATCTATCTATCTATCTATCTATCTATCTATCTATCTATCTATCTATCTATCTATCTATCTATCTATCTATCTATCTATCTATTTCTACTTAAGGCAGGTGTAGAGGTAGCAGTCTGTTTTCATGGTATCACATATACCAATATTCTCCGTGTCAGTGCCGCTTGCCCTCCCGGTATTCCTCCTCTACAGTTTCTTTATCGCTCCATCGTTATGCCTTCCCAGCCCCGTGTCCTGGATCGTCAAACATCGTAAAGAATTATTCGTGCTCGCCCATGCTGATAAGACGGCAGTATAGGCAGCAGTTATGTTCACTTTATGGCAACGTCGGGTGCGCTGGAACCTGGACGGCTGTTTTGCGCACGCTCTGTACATTTCCCTCACATCTTGGCGTCGTATTTTTGCACATGTTTGACGCGGAACGATTGAAGATGACAGAAATAAGGCGGAGGAACATTTTTTTACTGATAAAATGTAAGAAGCAAGCCGTGGCGAGACAGTAAGATGCCGCTTTTGCTCAGATTTCGTGCGATATAGCAAATTATGGCAATGCATGCAGAAGGACTCTGATACAGCGCTCATCGGGGTGTTCGTGGTTCAAGTATGACCATGGGGCATGCTGAGCAATATGGCTATATACTTGGGACGTAGCAGATGAAAAAGTCACCAAATTTTGTCTATATCGCCCAAATGTGTTGTATGAAAGATCGTTAGGTGAAGCAAAATGAAAACGCTTTTGCCAATGGTCATTTCTTTAAGGCAAAAACATTTGACGCCTCATCAAACGTGAAAGTTGACCGTCGGCGTGCCGCAGAGTCTGTAACGAGTGATGCGCAAAAATCACCACGCGATGACGTCACCATACGACGTTATAATGACGTCACACTGACGTAACATAACATGATGACGTAACCGCAGGGCAGGGTAACTGGGTCTGAGGTGAGCCGATGACGGAAGAAGTCCAAGACCAGGTAAAGTGCCTGCGATCCTTGTGGCAGCGCAAAACGACGTTAGGTGATCTTTCAGAGAGTGGCGGGATCTGGATGATGCTGGACAGGATCTACACATCAACTGAGAGGAGGAATAGATAAGTCTCTTTCAGCTGCTCGTCTTGTGATTTCTATAAGAGAAGGGTATATATAACGCTACTGGAAACACCTAGCCTGAACAGGAACACATGCAACAACATGCGCTGCCCACTATATGTCAATCAAGTGTCCATATAGGCGGACGCGAGCGGAGAAGCTAGGGGTGGCACACCAAACCCATGCCCCCCACCCCCCTCGATATCAAAATAACTGCCCTTCCCCCCAAAAAAATTCTGCCAATTTTTCTGGTGGACGCAGGATTCCCTCTTAGGGGGGGGGAGGTGTGACCCCCTCTTCTCTCCGTTGGTCACATCAATAAATTTAAAAAAAAAACTAACTCCGCAATCGATGAAAAAATGCAATGAGGCTACGACTCACTTCTCACAAAGGCCTGCGGCTTTACGGGGTCAAGGTAGGAAACGAACCGTTCTTCGAATGCAACTCAGGGGTCCATGGTCACCATTATCGTAAACAAACACGCGTAGCGATAGCCCTACGAATTTTTTTTGGGGGGGTGGGGGGGACGTTAAACCCCACGTATGAATCAAGCCCTACGAATGAAAAAAAATGGTGTAAAAGGTATGACTGAGTCAACATAGGGGGCAGAAATGGCACCCCCATCAGATGATTACATCCGACATTGGTACTACCCGTTGCTTTGCGATATTATTTACTCGTTCAAAGAAATTTAGTGCTTCTACTAAATGAAAAGAAATAGATTTCTTATGCTTCTTCATTCTCATCATACGATATTGGCAATTGGCAGATACTTGGGAATTTCCCGAAAGTTCTTGCCAAACTAGAAAAAAAGTGACGATGATGTGAAGCCCTGTTTCGCGATTAGATTTGATATCTTTAAGCTTAGTGGCGAGTTGAGTGGTTTTATTATTTTCTTTTCGCCAACTGATTTATTACCATCAGTTTTGCGGGTCGCAGTTACGCCAACACTATCCGTTCATGGGGCGAGGATAAGAGGTTAAGGAGTGTATGAAAGGGTTCGATGTATCATTAACGCCCGTGTCTAAAAAGTCGACACACAGCTGGCGACGTCAACTTTTTCTCCGCTGGCTCACCTGCAACGCCCATTTCGTTCCTTATAGTAACATGCCGAGACCTGTGTCTCTCGAACGATAACAAGCATAAACATCGTCAGCCTGCATCTGCGCCAAACTGTCGTCACAATACGCGTCCCAAAGTTTCTTTGAGATATGTCTGGACTTGCAGGGCGTCGTCGTTACAAGACCAGATACGCGCCAACAGACAGCCTCTCTTCAAAGAGGCATGTAATGTAGTTTATATACACTTCTGTTTGGTTTTATTTCTTCCCTCGTCCTGCACTGTCGCCGTCTCACCGTAGCAGCATCGTGGTGCAGAGAGCAGCCTGCTCGGCAAACAGCGCGCCGACCAAGCCACCAGGCCTCGGATTCTCTCTTTTTTACTGCCTCCCTCCTCCACCTCCTCCCGCGTGCCTCTCTTGTTTCTGATACAATGCGGCCCAGCAGCGAGCAGCGAATACGCGGCTGTCGAGGATTGCCGGCAGCTCACGTGCTTCGAAAAACCGTCGGCTTTCGCTCACCGCGCCGGCAGGGTGTAACGAGTTGCTCATAACGACCAGGTACGCACACTCAGGTAAAGTGGAGAAAAAAAAGATAGATTGACGTTCACTTGTAGTTGAAGCTGTAGTTAGCTCGCGTCAGCTTGGAGGAATGAGACGAACTGCTGCGAGCCGTAAAGGGAGTTGCTGACATAGGCGTCTCGTCAGCGCCACGCTTTAAACGTTACGTTACTGCCGTTCGTGCAAGTTACCAAGCTACCTGTGCTTCTCGGCTCATTGCAAGAATAACAGAGTGTACACAATCCTGTCCGTCGTGCACTGCCTGCGTCGAACGGCGTCATTAGAAAGAAGGATCGAAGGGTCACGGCCATTCGCCATCATCATCGAGTCCACTCCTCTTTTCTTCGGCGGTTGCTGCACGTTCGCACTGTGGTTCCCAGGAGTGCTCTTCTCAAGGAACACAGCGGATACAAGCTGCCATCGACCTTTTCATCTCATCTCTGCGTTTCAGTCTAAGGTTTGGTTTCAGTTAGCTTTTTTTTTTTCGATTAGTGCCTGTTCTGTTCAGCTCGCAACGGTGACGACGATAGTGTGAGTGCTTGTTCTCAGAAGGACAAGAGAGTCAAGTGTAGAAGATGCCTCGTGGGAAGATGGAGACCGGTAGTGGCGGCGGCAACGGCAAACACCACCGGAAGCGTGACCGGCTGAGCCCCGTGGGCGGGGGCTCGTACGAGCGGCGCAACAGCGACATCGAACTGGACAAGGTGACCGGACCTCCCGAGGCCTTCTTCCACCAGGCGAGGCAATCGAGGCGAGCCTCGGTCATGGCTGAATTGGTCATCAAGCAGCTGGAGGACCAGGACCAGGAGGAGAAAAAGGTCACAGGTGCGTGCGCACAAGTGCACTCAGCCTCGCATGTTATGAGCACGCAGGCTTCCTTGCTATTGAGTAAATGATAACAAATGTTGGGGAGTTGCGTCTCAGTATACAACAATATGATAGCAAGAGACTCCGTAGTGGATGGCTTCTGAAATTTCGACCTCCCAGTGTTCTCTGCATCTTCATCTAAGCGCACCAGCCTCTAGCATTCCGTTTCCATCGAAATGCTGCCGCTGCAGCCGGAATTCGATCACGTGACCTTCGCGTTAGCAGTTGAGCGCCGTAATCACTAGACCACTGAGCCGGGTTATGGAGTAATAATTATTCATATTACTTTTGTACCTTTACGCCTCGAAACCACGGTACGAATATGAAAGACGCCTTAGTGAAGGGTTCCGTAATTTTCGCCCACCCCGGTTTCGTTAACATGGAGTATGAAGCGTTTTAGTTTTGATGCCTGACTGAAGTTGTCTCGAAAACTAGGTAATGTGGTTGTATCAGGTTAACGCTGACGAACACCCTCGGTGTGGTGGTATCAAGTTAACGTTGTGTAGTTGCAATACCAAACGAGTTTGCAAACGATTAACGTGAGCGTTTGGGTAATTTGGTAGTCCATCGTCAAACAAGTTTCAACAGCGCAGACAAGTTTGTATACGTCTGCCTTGCTTTTTTTTTGACGTCCGTTCACTTGAGACAACGTACGCACGCTGTCAATGTATGAAGAGAGGGAGATGGAAACAACAAGAATATTCATGTATGGTCGCAGAACTGCCCGAGCATTGAGGCGAAACTATATCAACGTTTGCCTGGGTGATTACAGCCTCTTGAATTCTACTGGTACCTGCTAGAACGGCTTTTGTGTGTGCTTTTCTCAGCTGCAATATGTGTCGGTGGTTTCATATGTTACGTTCATCATCGGGCGAACAGGTACATGTCAAGCTTGTGCCGAGGCAGGATTCTCCACTTGTTACGAAGTGTTCCCCGCACAAGTGCAGCTAGAGAATTTTTTTTTTCTGAGTAAGTGAGAGGTGGGGTAGTTGAATGCCCCCCCCCCCCCCCCCCAATATACACCTCCACCATGTCCCGTGAAGATTCCCGGAGCCCCTTCATCTCGCTTCATCGGGATGAGTAACTGAAGGCGGCAAGCAGCATTGCTGGGCTGTTGGGAGCATGTCTAAACTTATTGCCGCCACACCACATAAATCGACGATGAATTGCCTGTCGGACTAGCTCCTGCAAGTTTGAGTTGATCTGGTAACTGCCAAGGGCAGCAGCATGATGCCGGCGTGTATCTCTCATAAACATTGCCCATTAAGTACGCGGTGTTTTCGTCAGTGGCTTTCGGTGCTGCTGATCTTCGCATCAAGTGTCTTCAACGTTCTATAAAGCATCCTGGGTTTTCGTCAAGCAAGTACTCCTCCATGTCGTAGATACTTCTCTAAGCGCAAGTGCTATTCTTTGAAAATTTTTTGATCGATTTCGCCGGTTAATTGCTTCCGCCATCACATATCTCGGGGCCTTCATTAGAATAATACGCACATAAAAAAAAGGTTAGTCAGCGTGATGTCCATATGGTCTTAAAAACATGAGCGTCTATTTATGATTTCACCTGCCAAAAGTTGTACCCCGTTGTCTGACACACATTCAATGTGTTGTGGCCTCCTTTCTATTCAAGCGCATCCCTGTCGCTCGAGAGCAGTTGCAAGTGCAACTGCTGTTTCGATCCACATGGGAATACGTTCGACATTGCGGAAGTGAGTCGAATGCACCAATGCGTTCAAAGCTACGAACATATCGATGGTGGTTCGCCAGCACCTTGTACAAAATATGTGTGAATAATCTATCTGTCACGCTCTGGGTAAACGGACAATGGAATACGATAGCGCCATGAAATGGTTGCCCTTTTGAACAGTTTGCAACGATGGCTGAGTGTCTTTGTATCCATTGCTGAGTATTCTGGCCGGGTTTTCACGCTTTCACTTTTTCCGAGTTGACCATGATTAGCGATTAACACTGCGCTGCTCGAGGAATCGAGCAAGGGTCTCGCGTAACGCATCCAATGGGCAACAGGGGGGGGGGGGGGGGGTTCTTTGGCTGAGAAGCTGATGCATGGGAAAGTGGGGTAAAACTCTTCTCATTCACTGATGTTACCCAATTCTGTAGAAAGTAGAGGTGGGTACATTTATCTTCTAGGCCAAAACTGAACACGTCTCAGGTGCACGGTTGACAGGAGGACCCTTCAAACAAGAACTTACACGAACCAGTGCAACTTAACTGCATGTTTCCAGAATTGCGTGCTGGGGCCAAATGTAAATTTTGTGATCGTAAGGAAGCCATCTTAGAGCATAAACTATGGGGATACGAAATCCAGCAGGACCGGAAGGGTTATCCAGCAAGACAGGAAGGTTACCGAGAAAATATACTGTCCCTGGTGTACCCGATACGCACGCCATTAATTTGCAGGATGCTCAGTAATGTTTTATCGCTCACTCACAAGGTGCGGGGTTTCATGCGTACGCTATTGCGATTGACACAGAAGTACCCGGCGGGAAACAAAATTTGGCGCTTTGGCTTGCCGAAAAGATGGTTTAATAATACAGCACGACGTGGCAGGCCTTGTACGCTGTCGTTATTTCGACCACCGTATTTGATAACTTGCACATAACGTGTGTTATAAAGGCGTATTAGCATTCTGTCTCTATCGTAATTGCACCATGCGGCCGGCGCAGGAGCAAACAGCAAAGCTCGGGCTCAACGATGCAACGTCACAGCCACGTACTGCGGCCACATCGTGACTGCAGCTCCATGACTGGTCACAAAGGCCGTCTCACTTCACGTGGCGGTAAAGTGCCGTCGTGTTGAAAAAACATCCGACGCGAACGTTCAAGCGGAAGAGAAGGACGGCTGGATATGAAATGCAAGTCAAGACCATGCGGCGTTGTTCTTTACTGATGTTGAGATTGTGCGATCGACAAGAAGCTGGAGTTAGTGTTATGCATGAGGACCGACAAGAGGCCTGTTCTTGAACTATGCATATTGTTTTTACCAACTGTGCTGCGTTTCTGCCGACCCGGATCGCGGTCAGTTCAAAGCAGTAGTGGAATTAACAACGATGACTACGTTTTCTTTAACAAATTGGCACCACGTATACTTAATGACGGTCGCTATTACTCTTCCTCTCTGCGGCTCCTCTTCTAGGCTTTTGCATAAGTGTTAGAATCTCGTGGAACGAAGGGCTGTGGACAGCACGTTTTGCGAACTTGTGTCGTAGCTGAGTCAGTGATTTTCACTTTATATCTTCTGAGTGACGGGACAGATATAAAGCGAACAAGAGGTATATGTAGGAGGTATATTCTGTGCTTCTATCAGCATACATCACGGAGGACATCGCCAGCTAGCTTTTCCGGTGTTGCATCACAAGCTGCAACGTGATCTCGGTATGTTCTACGGACTGTGCCCTTCACCCATCAGGACCGGAAGTACTAAGTTGGTTGGCGGTCAACTGTGCGCCTGAACTATGCAATACATGTCTGTTTTCTCACCTCTTTTCTGCTACCAAATCCTGTTCCCCATGGAATAACCCGTCAGCGCGACCGCGTCATTCACATTCATTCCATTAGCATCGTTTCCGTCTCTCTCTTTCTTTCTTTCACTCTTGCGGTATTGCGCGTACAATGCGAGAGGTTGTCACTTCCTGTCGTCTGAATGTGTCCCTAGATTTTCTCAGTCTCACAGTGATTCTTGCACAACAATACCGCAATTATGTGCGGTGGTTTTTTGGGTACCTCTCATTCAGATGTAATTGGGCGGAATTCTTTTTTGAACTTGAAAAAAGAATCCCACCCAATTGCGAAAAGGAATGGCTGAGCCATTCCAGCTCTCGTGCATCGTCAGTGTTTGAGTGAAGAGCAACACTCATTTCTCCTTGCCATTGCTATAAGTCACTTCTTATAAACAAGGAATGATAAAAATTGCACATAAACACAGCATAAAATATCTCTATATAAAAATATTGGCCTCGTATCTGCATGTTACACCGCAAATGTCGTCGAAAGACGATTCTTGCGCCTGGAGGGAGTGAACAAAACGTTTATTCGATGTTCTGCGCAAGAAAATTGGTGAATGGTATTCTGGAGGCGCTGCGTTAGAGTGCCTCGAGCATGCAGAGGAGGCGAACGAGCGCATCAAGTCACGTCACACGTGAGACATGAGCGCTATCAGGCAGTCATCCTGGAAAACGGGGCGCGCGCGATGCACGCCAGTCTCTGAGGTGATAAGGTGTAGAACGCAAGATGACAGGTAGGTGCCACTACCGTGTAGTCTTAGCAAACCGTTGGAAACACTCGCCTTTTCGTGCAAGTGTTGCGTGGTCAGCGCAGCGTGATAAGCGTTACGGTCCTTAAATTTGCTTATGTATGCCTTTCTAGTAGAAAATACACATACATAATATTGACGTGTTGTTATGGTGCCTCAGATATGCGCAATAATTGCTTTTTAATTGACAATCGCACAAGTATGAACGCTGAACTTTGAGCAATATTGGTGGGCGCTGCGGATGGGGTCGGCCGTTTGGAGTATAGTTTGGTCACTTTGGTGCCGTTTAGTGTACCGTTAAGGGTGGACAAACAGACAGACCAAAATTTTTGCGTCGAAGGTCCCCAAGAAACACTATCGTCTTTAAAAATGTTGGCCCTGGTTTGGCGTTGCTCGGGCTTGCGCCATGTACATACTAATTCTCTCCCCCGCGAACTCGTCCTGCCCTTTTTTAACAACACGGGGCCCTCTCTCACTTCCTTGTGTGCGCTCGGTCCGGGATCTGGTTTTATTGCGGAAGGCGAGGACTTCCGAGCATGCATGCACAGCCCGCTCGTGTTTGACCAACGCACAGCTGGTGCATCATCAGCTGTTCCCTGCATTGAACGGCGGAGAGAATGTATACGTGCGTCACGTGGCAGGTTATAGGTGCCTCCCTCGCATGAAGGAATGATGCTCCCACAGCTCCATCG